GCCCGCCCGCTCTCCCCCGCCCAGTGCGAGAGCGAAGGGTTCGCCTAGCCGACGCCCTAGGGACTGGAGCAGGGCAGACCGCGGGCTCCCGCCCAGTGCGAGAGCGAAGGGTTCGCCTAGCCGACGCCCTAGGGACTGGAGCAGGGCAGACCGCGGTCTCCCGCCCAGTGCGAGAGCGAAGGGTTCGCCTAGCCGACGCCCTAGGGACTGGAGCAGGGCAGACCGCGGGCTCCCGCCCAGTGCGAGAGGACTGATGGTGGTTTGTGCGGTAGTAGTGCCCAGGACTGCAGTGCTGTACAGAGCCCCTGCCTCGAGGAGCTGCTAGGCCTGACCCCGAACCCCCAACTGAAACAGCTGGTGCTCCACCGGCGCTAGCTGGGCTCCCAGCACTGTGATGCTAAATTCACCCACCAGGAGACGAGAGAGTTGACCAGGACAGCAGTGGAAAGGGCCGAGTCCTGGCGGCAGGGAGGTGCTGCGGGATCATTGTCCCCTCTCACAGCGCATGGCTCTGGCTGGAGGTCTCAGTGGGATGCGTCCCCTTCCCTCAGCCTCCTGTCCTGAGAGGCAGACAGTGCCCTTAGGGAATGCTTGCCTCCCCCGCCCCCGGTCCCTTATTGCCAGCTCTGGGAGGGGAGGGGCCGTTTCCCCCTCTCGCTGTCTGTCCCACAAGGGTCTCCTTCCCTTTGAAGAGTAGAGCTCCCCTCCTGGCCCTTTCTCAGCCTCCTCACAGCCTTTGGGGTGCGCCTCGGGGGACGCGTCTCCCCCAGCTCTGTCTCGGGGGGGCCAGATCTCTCCCTGGCTGGATCTCTCAGGCTGAGCTGCTGTTTAAAGGACAGTGGCCCCCCCACAAACACTCCTCATCGCCGTGAGGGGCCAGCTCCATGGAAATCCAGGCCCGTTGGCTCCACGCCCTTTTGCCTGATTTCCCCTTCAGCTCTGAGCCAGGCCCCTGCCCTCTGCCCCTCTCTGATGCTTGTCTCAGCATGCAACAGCCTGGTCAGTGCTCAGTGCAGAAAATGCTCCCGTTACCCTAAGGCGGGGACACGCTCCGTGTGTCACATGCTTATAGGAGCTGGCAGTGCCGCTGGAATCAGCAATTATTGGCCCCCTCGTCACCCTGGCCCACATCATGTGACTAGGACCAACACGTCAAGTCCAGCTTGTTCCCAGCACCCCGCCTGTCACACCATTAATAGCGGAGGAAGGGGAGTGCCTGCCTGCTGCCCACGAGATCATAACCAGCGAGCAAGGCCTGCACCAGCGATAACACTCAGAAACAGCAGGAACAATACTTCTAGGCCAGTTATCAGAGGGGTAGCCGTGTTAGTCTGAATCTGTAAAAAGCAACAGAGGGTCCTGTGGCACCTTTGAGACTAACAGAAGTACTGGGAGCATAAGCTTTCGTGGGTAAGAACCTCACTTCTTCAGATGCAACGAAGAAGTGAGGTT